GCCAAGAGGGCCAGCAGTTACTGAGTTCCAGGCAGCTTCGCGGGACCCACGCCGGCTCTCGGTTTCTATCTGGGGTCCTTTTATTATTTTTCAAAAGATAACAACTTTATTGAGATAATAAACATACCATACAATTCACCCACCGAAAGGGCACAAGTCAATGTTTCGCTTTAGGTATTCACAGAGTCGGACAAGCACCATCACAATCCATTTCAGAACATTTTCATCACCTACCTGGAGCTCTTGATTCTACAAAGTGGATGGAAAATTGGAGAACAAAGCGACGGGAGGATTACAAAGCAGGAGCTCACAGAGTGGGTGGAGATGGGGCTCTTTAAGGAGGCTGCAAAAATAAAAAATCTGGTGTTTAAGTATGGAACTACTAAAAGGAAGAGAGTTGGCCTTTGTTTCCATGAAGGACAAACAAAAACTGTGCTTTAGTAAAGTAAGAATTTAGGTAAAGCATGAAGGAAGAGAGACACTCAACTTCCCCACGATGTTTGTAAATTCTGGGGTTCAGCTGCCCTTGAAAGAAGACTGGTGAACAGTCACCCCAGAGTGCTTCTGCTGTCATGCTGCTGGCAAGATGATGAGGCGCCCCTTCAGGGCTGGGTGAGCCCTGCCTTTTCTGAGCCTGCCGGGTCCTGCCGATCCGCCTACTAGGCTGGAACTTCTAGAGAGTCCATTCCATGCTGCCGAATGAACGGACATTCCACATAGTAACTTCCTGGACTGATCAACCTGGCGGGAATGAACCAGAACATTCGAGTAGGGCACTGGAGACCACTGCTACCGGGCTCTCCTCCTCCTCATTTTTTTCTGATTAAAATTACGCCTCAAAGAATTATTGAGCTCTTACTGTGGGCCAGGTGTAAGGCAGACACCAGAGATAAACAGTGGTTCTCAACCAGGGTGGCTTTGCCAAGCAGGGGATCCCTGACAATGTCTGCAGACAATTTCATTGAGACAATTGGGGCAGAGAGAGGGCGCTCCTGGCATCTCACGGGTAGAGGCCAGAGCTGCACATCTCACAAGGCCCCGCGCCGCGCCGTCTCTCAAGAAGCAGCCAGACCCAAGTGCCAGTGGAGCCGCGGTGGAGAAGCCTCGAGCGAGAGAAGACGCAGCCCCCTGCTCGCCAAGAGTTTGTTCCTGCTCAGTGTGGTTTCTTAATATGTCTCAAAATGTGTTGCAGCAAAAATTTCTGCATTGATGAAAAATCCTGAAGCCCCTTATTAGATGCAATCATAAATGAAGCCAAATTCTCGGTGCCCTTCGGGACTGACATCACGGCGCTCTTCTTGCAAGGGGCTTATTAACTTATCGACTGTGTTCTCAAGGCTTAGATTTGCAAAATGACTTAGCAGAGTTTCCTTTCTTTCTTTATCAGCAGAATGAGACGACATTGTCATTTGAGTGTATGTATAGACTAGTTGGATGCAAAATAACCTACAAGTGGGCTACTATCGTAAACCTCAACATTTCATCTCTTGTAACTTGAACATGTCAAAATCTTGGCGGGGGGTAGCTAAAATCTCACCTTGTGTAGCACTCCCCTGGTCTAATAACAGTTGCCCATGGATTACTTGCACTATTTTGAAACTACTTTTAAACGCTCACAAGCACTACTTACTATGAAATCGACCACGATCCTAATTAAAATATCAATTTATTACAATGGCATCCTACGGATCTCAAATACACCCTGTGTTGCTTCTTCGTTGTGGGAGTTATTTGACCTGGATGTTCTGGAAATTGCCTTTTTTATTTAAGAATGACCTCTACTGCCTCTTTTTCTCCTGCTGTTAAAAAGTTTTCAGCTTAGCAGCTTTTGAGTGTGGCTGTTAGCGACTTGGCATTCCCCATTCTAAGCTTGAGATCTCCCCTTTGCCGCTGTACAAAGTACTCTGGGTGTTCCCGCGAATGAAGTGGTCTTAAAAATAATTGGAAAATATCTGTAATTCAGACTCTGCACTAATTCATACTGGTTTTGTCCCTGAAGGATCCAAATTCCTGTGGGTTCATTGGGCTTTAAGAATTATTGCAAAGTACACATTTTTGAGTTGTTGATGCGTAGAACCCTTTCACCCTCACAGAAAACTCTCCTGGGCTTCCATTTTCCCCCTTTGAAAACAGAATCTAAATCCTTCCCTGCTGTCTTTATTAATTATGCTGTTGGTGAAGATAATGACTACACTGACATATTTTCCCAGTAACCGGCTACCTTTCCTTCCTCCTTTCCCTTCCTTCTCCTCCCTCCTTCCCTCTTGTTTGGAGTTTCCATAATTGCAGATGTATTTTTTTCAAGCTTAAAGTGTGAGAGTTTTGCTTTTGAATCTAAACAAATCTTTGATCTCACTTTACAAGTTTCTACTCACTGTCAAGGATTTCCCCTGCTTAGGACACTATCTACTCTTTAAAGCTTTCTTTTTTCCCTCTAGATCGTCTAGTTTTTACTTCACCAAGAGCATCATTACCCTCAAATATGGGATTTTTGTAACTTGTTCCAAATTTTTGTCATTTCTGTACTGAAGCCAGCTGCAGCCATCTTGACAAGTCTGTGCAAATGTCAACACTCCTGGGGACTAATCAGATGTTCTGAAAGAGTCTTGAAAGGCAGTTTTTTAGGGACTTGACCCTGCATTTTTTTTTTTTTTTTTTAGGAGAGATGGGACGTTCAGTCATGAGAAAAAGTCTGGGGCTCCTGCATGTGAGGGAAAGAGTAAGGGTGGCCACGGGGGGCTGAATCTAGCTGAAAAATGAGGGGCCCAAGTTTTCCAGTGGCCCACTGTGTGAGCCCTGTGGGGATGAAGTATCTCAGGCCAGGAGCCACAGGTCCAAGCTGGCGGTTGTACTTCGGGAGTGTGTGAGAGGCCACACACTTCTGACTGGGGCGGGGAATGCCAAAGGCAGCCGGCAGGACCTGTAGGCCCATGGTGGCTCTTCCTGATTCCTGCCCTATGGGGATTCTAGTTTCCATCACCTTGGGTAGGTGGGGGTAGAGAGAGCGCCTCACTGCTCATGTAGCACAACCCTGCTCGCCACATAACTTCTGTATGCCGCCTCCACAGATCTCAGGAGCCAAGTATCCCCAACTCCAGGTAGCCCCCACCACACACACTCCCCCAGGGGCTCCCAGTGATGGATGGCAAAACCCATAAATAGGGGTGGCTGGGGAGGCCCGTTTTGGGGAACACATCCTAGGGCCAGGGGATGGAACATACTGGCTCAGCACTCAGGGCTGCCCGTGGGGCCCACGTTTCTCACCCAACCAGACCTGAGATCTGAAGAGAAAGGGCATTCCTTAGTGCAACACGGAGAAATGTGTGGCTGGAGATTCTTAATAAAATGGCAGGTTACAGATGCCTTCTGCGCTATCTAGGCAGTGCTCAGCTGTATGCATCTGCTTCTCGGGGCCTGTGGAGACTTCCCTTCTGCTGAGAAGCAGTAGGTCTTCTGGGTACATCGTGAAGACGGGAATCCTGCCTGGAGCGGCAGGGCGGCTGAAGCAATTATGGACATGCCGAGCAAAGGCATCTGGGAACAGGAACGTTAGGCCCCAGGCACATCTGGTGCTCAGGAGACATGGCGAGAGAGCCATGCGGGCAGCTGGGAACGGGAATGCTAGGCCCCAGGCACATCTGCATGGGTTGTATTGGAAACTGGAATGCGTGTGTCGTGCTCAGGACACATGGCCAGAGGGCCAGAAGGGAGTCCATGTAGAAAAAGATGCTCTGGGTACTTTGGTGCCACAGAACCTGAATAGAGAGCCTGACGAGAAACAGCTACTTGCCCCTTTACGAATAGGTCACTCTTTCCAAAGAAAATTCAACACACAGGACGAGCAGAAAAGAACATCCAGTCTGGGCGTCTGGTGCAGGACCAGTGAAACAGTAACCCTGTGCACGGAGGGGTCTGGTGATAAAAGAAGGCACCGGCCTTCGGTGTCCCAGTAACACCAACACACATCATTGTAAGATGTGAAAGGAAGAGCTTCCTGTTTAAAAATAAGCATGCCACAATCAGTCCAGCCCCCTCCATCCCACCCCACCCTGCACAGTTTCAGACACAAGGGTGATGGCTGCCTGGCTGACTGTCTTCAACGTCCACTCAGTTCCTCACTTGCGTGGGTGGCTTTATGCTGGCGCAGGGGGGTGGCACTGTCCTCTCCTCCCGGGGACATCACTTCCATCCCTGCAGAAATGGCTTCACCAGGGGTTCTTGGCCTTGGCAATATTGACTTCTGGGCTGGATCATCTTGATGGGGCTGTCCTGTGCGTTGTGGGGTGTCTACTAGCATTGGGGGGCTCTACCCACCAGAAGCCTCTTGCAGCTGTGACAACCAAAAGCGTCTCCACACATTGCCAGACGTCCCCTGGGGGCCACGCTCCCCTCCAGCTGAAAACCACAGGGTTAGACTGACTAGGAGAGACTTTCTCCTCCCTCCCTGACCCCACTCCCAATAGCTCTTGCCAAGGCCCGGAATGTCTAGAGACTTGGAATCCACTGACCCTGGACTTGCCTCTGGCCTGAGTGGCCTTCAGGGATGTTTTTTGACTTACAAGACTTTCAGTCATTCAGAATAATGCTGATTGCCTTTGAAAGGAAGGTTGTTTCCCGCTGAATTCTGGAAGAGGGCAGGAAGGAAGCAGGCAAATGTTCCTGGTTGAATGTATGGGAGGCGCAGGCTCAGGATTCTACACATCCAAGGTCAGTGTAGCTGGAGGGGCCCCGAGCACTTGAAAGTCACCTCCCCAGCCCCCTCTCTTCGCCAGGTGTTTAGACACGAGAACACCCAGGTCTAGAGCGGGAAGTGACCCATCCAGGGTCGCCCCTACTCCTTTGATGGAGACATAGGCCGATTGCGTCCTTTGCCCAATTATTCCTGAAGAGTCTGGGTCTCCAAACACAGGTACACAGCAGAGCTTTACAAGGCAACGGTTTGGGTCAGCCAGGCTAGTTAAGGAATTCAAGTTTTATAAATGATGGAATACTGCAACCAATTAGTGCAAACAAACATTTATTGTGAAATAGTCATCCTACCCTTTATTAGGTATTACATCATCAAAGCACTTTGTGGCAATGAAAATAGCTTTTTTACCCCTCTGATTCACCCACTATTCCATTAAAGCTGCAAAAAATGTGCAATCTGCTTGAAAAATAGGTTGCTCTTATTTATTCATTTGTGAAAAGTCAAAAATTAAAAAAGAAAATGATACTAGTTTACAGGGCCCCTAGAGCCAATCCGCCTTCCCACTTCCCAACTACTCCCCCAAATAATTAACAAAGATAATTTGCTTTAAATGCCTTTTTATAAAACCAATGCACCTTTCTCCATATTATAATCATAAAAATGTTAAAAAGCCATCATTTACTTTCTTGGAAAAAAGGTGGCCAGCCGTTGTTTTTTGATCGGGAGCATGTGTATTTCCTGGGAGTTCACTTTCTTTAATTTTATGCTCCGGTTTTTGATGGGTTTCCTAAGGGGCTCTGCATTGCCCATGGACTCTTCGCCGTGGCTGTTGATGTCATAGCCCTGAAGCACGGAGTCTTCTCTTTTGAAGGAGAAGTTTTTGGTGGACACCCCCGAGAGGCCTTTGATCTTGCCACAGAAAATGGCGGGCACAGCGTCTTCCACCGAGACGATCACCTTGGCCGCCTGTGACTCGCTCGCAGCCTCGAGGTTGCTTTCAGCCTTGACCTCGCCGCTGGGCTGGCCGGGCTGCTTGAGCGGCTCGGGAGCCTTGCTGCTGCCCACGTGGCTGTCCAGCAGGGCCGACGCCTCGTGGCGCGTGGTGAAGGGCGTTTCCATGGCGCCGGGAAGCTTCTCCACCAGGCTGTGACGGGGAGTGTCCACGGAGCCACTGCTGTCGCGCAGCGTCTCGGGGGCAGGCTCGGGTTTCCGGTGGGCTGCCAGAGACAGGTCTAGGGCTGCATCTTCCTGGCACATCAGGGGACCAGCTTCGCCAGCCTTGAGCCAGGGCACCGACTTCATGGAGAGGTCCAGCGCCTCGTTCTCACTCCCCATCTTGATGACCGTGTGGCGGCTGAGCTGGAAGTACTCCCTGGGCTGGAGGATGTCGAAGGGCTTCAGCTCCTCCTTCTCCAGAGGGGTCTGGGTGCCTTTAAAGGGGTGCAGGCCGAAGGAAGACGGTGGCTTGGGGAAGCTGGAGCTGAACTTGGATTCGGAACTCGGAGGCACTGGGATGGGGATGGGGATGGGCACCGGCACCGGCAAGGGGACGATCACCGGGTAGGGCACCAAGAGGGTGGCCGGCGGCACCAGCGGGGACAGGGGTGTGTTCAAAGGCTGGGGGGGTGCAGGGGCATACCCAGGAGGAGGCTGACAGGGCGGGGGCCCGAGGGGGCCCTGTGAGGGAAACAGATTCTGGAGCACAGCCTCAAACGGCAGCGTGGCCTCCTGCGGCTGGCTGGGGATCCGCAGGTCCAGGAGCTGGGGCTGGGCCTCGGGGTCCTCGGCCCCCTGGAAGAGGTTGCTGTGGATGGCACTGGAGGAGCATGGCGCCTCTTGCGGCAGCACCAGAGGGGAGTTGAGGTGCTGGAAGACGTGCTGCTCCAGCACCACGGGCAGCTGCACGGGCCCCTGCGTGGTCATGACGTAGGCGGCGTTGCTGTTAGGGGTGAGCTCGGGCGCGGAGCTGCCCTCCACCTGCATGTGAATGGGCATCACCACGGGGCTCTCCCCCAGGCACAGCGGCTGCAGCACGGTGGCCGCCACCTTCAGAGCCATGCCGCTCTGGGACTCGGCCGGCGGGCTCAGAATGGACGGGGCTGGCACCGTCACCAGAGCCTTCTTTACCAGGTCAGTGGAGTTGATGTTCCAGGCCTCTGTGGTGATGAGCTGGGCCATGCCATTCTCCAGTCTGTTGTTGGCCAAGGCAGGGGGGGAGTCGGTCATGTCCATGGCCAGGTTCTGGGACTGCAGGTCATCCATCACTCGGCTCTGCTGCCACTTGGCCTGAGACACAGAACACGCAATATTAGTCTCCCCTGAGGGCCTCTTCACAATTTCTCCAAGAGGCCCTCCCTGGTGGTGCAAAGCACCACGAAGCTGTCCATGGCACGGCAACTTGAGTTCGATCCCCGGCCAGGGAGTGACCCACAGGGCGCAGCAGACCTCTCCTTTTTCTCTTCCTGCTCCCCTCTGCAGTGTACCTCAGTACATTCATCTGTTCTGCCCCTTGCTCTGTTTCTGGGGAATCCTCTCACCCCCTGCACCTCTGGCCTGTACCCCAGTTCGTGTATGCATAAGTAAATAAATCTCAAATTGCTACCAGACTCCCTCTGCATCTTTGAAAGGTTTCCATGATGGAGTGAACCGGGTCTTAGTGAACCAGGGCGCACCCCATTCTCTGTACCATATACGTCACAGGCACTTCTGAGCCTACGCGCACACACCTGTGTGATCAGCTGTGCACGGGAGCCCCACTTTCGCAGGCGATGTAATGACTAAATGGCCAGCTGAGGTTAATGAGAGTATTTTCAAGATTAATTCTCAGCTTATGTTTACCTCCAACAAACACCAACTTTCCTTCCACATTGCTATCTGGAAAAGTTAAGCTATGCAGAGATTTGACTTGTTCCAAGTCAAATAAGCAGCAAAGACTTGCTTCCCTTTGAGGAAAAAAAAGGAAAACCCACTCACATTAGAATATTCCGAGGGCCCTCCCTGGTGGCGCAGCGGGTTAAAGCACAGCACTGAGAATCTAAAGCCACTTCCGCATGAGTTCGATTCCCGCCTGCCCCGGAGGTGACCACATGGCGCGGCAGACCTCTCCTGACCTGACCCGCCTGCTGCTCCCCTCAGCAGCGTACTTCGTCGACCTGCCTGTTCTGCTCCCTACTCTGTCTCTGGTGAATCCTCTCACCCTCTGCATCTCTGTATGAATAAATAAATAAATCTTTTTTTTTTTTAAAGATTTATTTATTTGTACATACAGAACTGGGGTACAGGCCAGAGACTCAGGGGCAGTGAGAGACTTCACCAGAGACAGAGTGGGGAGCAGAACAGGCAGATCGAGGAAGTACACTGCTGAGGGGAGCAGCGGGCGGGTCAGGAGAGGTCTGCCACGCCATGTGGTCTCCTCCGGGGCAGGCGGGAATCGAACTCATGCGGAAGTGGCTTTAGCTTCTCAGTGCAGTGCTTTAACCCGCTGCGCCACCAGGAAGGGCCTAAATAAATAAATCTTTTTAAAAAATTAAAAAAAAAGAATATTCCGAAAGCGGAAGGGGGCGTCCCAATCACAGGATACATTCAATGAGACTCTTTGTGGCAGAAACTGGAGGCGCGCGCAAGTTCCGCGTTCACACGCGCTCCTTCGCGCCATCGTGTGGCCACTCTCCGACCAATGGCCTCGTCTCACATTATTAAATTCTACCCCGAGGGCAAGGAGATAGGAGAACTCGCATGAATGTTCATGGGGTCCAGCCTCAACTTCCCCATCAGCTCATCTGCCAGGCCCGTGTCCCCTCCTAACTGCAGCTCTCGAGGATGGGGGTTGAGGGGCGGTGATGATCCTGGGGCTAGGGCAATGCTACACTTTGGGAAACAAATCCTCAGGAGAGAGAATCTTTCTGGAAGTCTGTGTCTCCTGGGTCGCCTCCCGGGAGGCCAGCAGAACCCAGCACGGGCGCTTCCTGGAAGAAGCAGGACGCGTCTACTCTATGGTTCTCCATGGAAACGTGGCCACATTTAGCCTTGTTGCCATGGAGAAGGCAGGCACCATGTCTAACTCAGGGATCTTTGCAGCCCTGGAGTCTAGTTGGGCTCAGTAACAATTCAATAATCCTCAGGTTAGCTGGGCAGGCTTTGGGCGACTCGGATTCTTGAATTCGCCTGTCTGAGCTGTCTAGACTGAGGCCAGCAGTCTTCTTTTCACCTCCAAATTACCAACACAACCTCCAAAACGGTAAGAGAGGCAGCCCAGCACACCATGGGAGTTGAAATAAACAAATGCGGCCTCTCTACAGGGAGGCAGCTTTAATAAATGAACAACTGTGATATTTCCAAGGCAATCGAAACGTGTCAAATGCAAAGAGCAATTTACTCGGTGTTTCTCTGCAACAGTCTCTGAAACAGGAGGAGGAGTTGCCTCCGAGAGGGAGCTCCAGAGCCTGGCTGCCTCGGGTGGGGCATAGCACCTCCAAAAGCATCAGGTGATCAGTATGCTGGCCAACAACTCTAGGGACAAAGTGAGGAAGCAGCCCGACCCCCAAGAAGTGAGGAGACCTGCCCCAGCTGAAGCACCTGGCTTCTTCTTAGAAGACCCTCAAGCCTTTTCCAGAAGGGTCTACCTGTCCCTATGGTTAGAGAGGCACGCACCTGAGGCCACCCAGCTGAGGAGGATTCTGAGGGCCTGAGATGCAGGATTATCAGGATTATAGAGCAGTGAGGTAAGGTGACACTTTCTCCTAACCACTGCACCTGTTAGTCATTCCAGAAATGGAGCACTCTCCTTCCTGCGCACTCTTTTCTGTCTCCCCCACCTCCGTCTCTCTCCCACAACACCGCCCCCTCCTGGCTAGGGGAGAGAAGGCCAACTTCCCTTCTCTCCCTCCCTCCATCTCTTCCACAACACTGCGCCCCCTCCTGGCTAGGGGAGAGAAGGCCAACTTCCCAATGCCTTCTACCCCTGCTCTTCACATCTACCCCTGCTCTTCACATCCCCCTTCAGCTTAGGTACCATCTGGCATTTCTTCCTCCAAAACCTCATTTTCCTCCCTACGCAGCCCTGGTTCTAGCCCAGCTAACTCTCCCAGAACCTTCCTACTCAGAGTGTGAGGAGGGGCCCTTGCTAGGGCACTTTCCACAAGTCCCTGCTGCTTCCACAGATGACAAGCCCTAAAACTCACCAAACATTTTCTACATTCTAGGCCCTCTACTGAGAATGCTAAGAACATGCCGTGTTTTGCCTCATCTAGTCCTCAGAGCACTCCTACAACAGGACTCCTACGCCCATTTTATTGTGAAAAAAAAGTGATTCCACGGGCAGATTAGATAACTAGTTGAAGGTACATTGTTACTGGGATTAATGTTTAGAAAATAAGTAGGGGATTGGAACAGACAGTTCACTGGAAAAGACAAAGAGAAGGCCAATAGGCACATGAAAAGACACTTATCACCTCTTATTAGGGAAATCAAAACACGGAGGCAATACTTCACAAGGACAAGAAACAACAGTGCTGGTGAGGGTGTAGAGAAGGAATCCCGTGTGCACTTTGGTGGGAATGTAAATTGGTGCAGTCATTACGGAAGACAGTATGGCGTTTCCTCAAAAGGTTAAGAATAGAACCACCATATGGTCCAGCTACTTCATTTCTGGATATTTATCTGGAAAAATGAAAACACTAATTCAAAGAGATATGGATGCATTTCCCTTGCGTGCACGTTGAACGCAGCAGTATTCACCATCACCAAGAATTGAAAACAACTTATATGCCTGTTAACAGATGGATAGTGTTGTGATATATGTGAGTGATGGAATACTACTCGGCCATAAAAAAGATTAAATCCTGCCATCGGCAGCATGGATAAATGTAGAGGGTATTACATGGGACATAAGTCAAGCCAAAGGAAAACAAACAGCATGGTTTCATTCACATGCAGTAAGTCAAGAAACAAAACAAATGAACAAAGAAAACAAAAAACCCTCTGAGACTACAAGAAGGGAAGGGGGAATCAAACAGATACACTGGGTCAACTGTACGATGACAAATGGAAACTGGCCTTTTGTGGACAAGCTGAGTGCAGTATATACAGATGATGATTTAAGTCTGTGCACCTAAAATTTATATAATGATATGAGCCAACATTACTTAAATAAAAACGATGAAATGCTGCCATTTGCAACACACTGTGGATGAACCTTAAGGGGATTATGCTGGGTGACATAAGGCAGACAGTGTATGATTTCACTCATGTGTGTAACATAAAGAAACTTAGCAAACAAACCAAATAAAACTCTTAGAGAGAACAGACTGGTGGTCACCGGAGGGAAAGAGGGTTGAGAGCTGGATGAACAGATAAAGGCGTCAATTCCATGGTGCTAGATGAAAACCCAACTTCGGCTGTTGAGCCTCATGCCACTAGAAAGCTGTGCCCCGAGACTTACATGATGTCATCCACCAATACAACCTCACTGCAGATTTTTAAAAAATCCAAGGTCTATCGCAGGCTCCTCCAGTGCGGAGCTGTGAGGAACACACCCTCCACGCCATCTTGGTTTAGGCGGGAGCGGCCCCAACGGCTCCCGCTCACCAGCAGGTGCCTGTGCCCGCGGGCTTCAAAATGGTGGCCAGGTCCTTTGCTGTTCGCGCCCTCTCTTTTCTCCTCCAAGGCCTCGCTCTGTCCCTCTGGCCAAGTGAGGTGCTGAAAGGTCCTGCCCTCGGGGAACGCAGGCCAAACGGTACCTGTGTTCCCTCTACTAGAGGGAGGCCTCATCCTCTCAGCCCCCTTTCTGTGCCCACCTACCCCGCCCTGGCTTCTGAAGACAGACATCAGGACGGTGGGAGGGCACCTGGGCGCCCATCAGATCTGCTGCTGGGGCTTCACGTCGCTGGGAACAGGGCCGGGACCAGATGGGATGCCAGACAGGCCGGATGCGACATCTCTGGGGCAAAGGGCCAAAACCTCACTTCCACCTCCTCCCACACGACAGCTTTGTCCTATCTGACTACTTCAAGCCAGGATGGTAAGCAGCTGTGCTCCTCCCACCTCAGAGCTACTGACCCCCCAAGAGAGGGCTGAGTGCCCGCTTCCCAGCTGGGTAATGAAGGGGTACCCTGCTCTCATCATGAGCTCCCCCAGAAGACTTCATCTCCTCTTTCCCTCTACTGTTCCTCCCCTGTTGATCACCCTGCCAGCAGACACCCCAGAGCTGGGTCCGCAGCTGGGGGCCTGAGTGCCCCCAGGGAGGCCACTGCAGTTGTTGTCGCTGCAGGAGCCAGTCCTGGAACCCT